CGGGAGGTTGTGGTCGTGGTCGTGGTCCGCTCAGCGTGTTAGCACTGAACCAGGCCGTTCACACATCATGCTCTTGCACCAGCACAAAATGCTGCCAAAATTCACTCCCAAGCTGTGGTTTTCAACCTGTGGTCCACAGACTCCATGGGGGTCCACAAGCTATGTCTAAGGGGTCCACGAAAGATAACTGTGATCAATCCAAAGGATGTGAATCCCCACCCTGACAATTCAAAGGGGTCCACACCTCCATTCGAAATTTCCAGAGGGGTCTGCAAATGAAAAAGGGTTGAAAGCCATGGCCCTAGAGGATCCCTCTGTGGGGTCAGGGTGACTGCTGAAACGCTGCAGCAAAGGGGAGCAGGTGTGTCTCCGGTAGCAGCATGCTAAGCGATGGCACAGGTCCGGTGTACCCCAGCACACCGCATTTAGAGGGCTCGTTTCCAGCTCGGTGCTCCTGGTAGATTATTGTTCAGTATGTGCATTGTGGTAGCACCTCAGTCCCCCCATTGTCAGCCACGGCGCCAGAGGCTGTACAAACAGAGCAGGAGGGTTCCCCAAAGAGCTTGACACTTCAAGCATGAAGCCGCATCTTCACCACTGGAAAAGGCATGTGGTCTCCCTTTAGCGTGATAACCACGTGTGATACAATCCCACCAGAGACGAGGCACATTTTACCGTGGTATGGTCGGATGAGCTGCGTGAGGTTTGACTTTTCCTTAGGGCAGCTCAACCAAAACTCCGGGGTTTTCTCTCTGCTAGGATTCTGCAATGAGAGAGACAATGCAAGCTAGGTCCTCCCTCTAGATGCACACCTTTCTGGGCAGTAACCACCAGGCCTGAAATAAAAGACACTGGGTCACACAGGTAGGCCCAAGAGAAAAACGGAGACCATATCAACAGCAGTGTGTCAACTAGGTTCTGCTTCACCCAGAGCTGCTTCTTCCCTGAATCCTACAGGCACAGAGCATGATTTGATAACAGATTTAAGATGTGGGTGGCTGTCGGTGCGCAGGGCACCGTAGCGTTTTAGTGGGGTTTGTCACTGTAAGAGGGCTGTAAGAAAAACAGCATTACAATACAAGACAGGGAAAAAATAAAAACAGCAGTCCCTTCTTTTTCTAGACAGATTGTAAGTTCCCTGCCATCCTTTCGTGGTTATTTCAGGAAAAAGGCAAGGCGCCTGATGGGTTTATGTAAATGTATTGATTTAAGAAGACAATCCTGCTCCCAGATGACATGATCCAGTGTAAAACATTTTCTTCTTGAAACCTGAGTAAAAAAAAAATAAAAAGCTGCCATGTGCCAGAGTGTCTGTGTGCTTCCTTCCTTCCTTGGCATGGGCAGCTCTCATTGGGAAGTGGATGGCAGCGGTGCCAGGGTATCCGGCAGATGCTCTAGTCTTACTTCAAAGGACAAGTGTAACCTGCTTTAGCAATGGATCTACTGATGTGAAGCTCCACAGTTTTAGCAAGCAAAGATTATTTCTAGCCAAGAAAGCAAGGTCTTGTCTGGCTCAAAAGGAAAAATGCTGGCCTGACTTACGCAGGATATGGGTTTGACTCCCTGCTCTTTTGTCACAAAATAGTGCAGAGCTGCCTCAATCTGTCCTTTCTCAGCAACACCCGCCCGGCGGTAACGGAGCTTCGAGGGCCCTCCGTCCAGCCCTGGGCAGGGAGAGGAGCAAGATGACAAGAGGCTAATGATAAGAGGCAGGGGGTTATGTGAGGTAAGAGTAAAAGGGTTTCATCCTGAGCTTCCCACAGGTCAGGGCTCAGCTCAAAGGACCTGAGTCAGTGAGGAAAGGAGGTTTCTCTGCCCTGCCCTTTGGGTCATGACAGGCTGGGAGAGCGCGGTTGTCTGGCCCATTTCACCTCCTGCACAGCATCACTGCTGCATTGGACTGAGATGCAGACGGGGTCTGGCCTTGCCTCTTTGGCGCTGAGAACCAAACAGTGGTGCAGTCGCCTACCCTGGAGATCTTCAAGAGGAGAATGGACGGTTACCTCGCTGGCATCACTTGGCCCCAGCATCTTTCCTGCTTGGTGCAGGGTTTGCTTTGCCCTTGGACCTAACTGGGTCCCTTTCATTGTGGAAGGGAAGCAGCAGGAGCCTTAACACAGTGCCTGTGTTGCCTCTTGTTGCAGGTTGCGATGTCTTCCTTTCCAGCAGGTCTCCAGGTTCCTTTTCTGCCTTTCCCACCTCTCCCAGATGAAGGTGCCAATACCTACACATGAAAAACACACAGAAGTTAAAAGAAAGTAGGTTCAGGAACCAGTGCACTTGCTTCTGCACTGTCCATGTGCCCCTCTGCCATGACTGCTTTGAGGACGCACTGGCAGAGAAGCTGAGAGCCCAGCAAGCAACCTTGCAGTAGTGAGAAGTGCTTTATTCTTCCCCTAGCTTAGTGAGAGCGTGGCCCCTTCCTGTGCCTGTGCCAAGCAGCTGCGGAAGCTGCAGGTTGATCCGTTTGCAAGGACTGATGTCTTAATGATGTCTAATGTCAGCAGCCAGAGCTGTTACACGCTGTGCTGCCAGGCTAGATGAGACCCACGGGCTGGTCCTTTCCTGCCTCTGGCAGTGAACAGCCCTGGGTGCTTCAGAGGAAGGTGCAAGAACCCTGCAGCAGCATCTGTGCAATAAACTGCCTTTACATTAGCTTTCATCGTGGTCTCGTCCAGATCGACCTAACCCCCAAAGCATGAGGTTGAACATTCCCCCTCCTGCAAGATTTGTTCTTTGTTCCCATAGAAATAGCCGATCCCTTGTTGGACCTTGCTAAAGACATGTCTGTCTTCTCATTCCTGAGCAAGCACAGTCAGCCAGGGGCTTCTTCTAGCAGCAGATCGTCTGGTGAGGGTTTCCTGCAGATCTCGGCAGAAGAAATACTGTCATAGCCAGGAGCCACCCGGCAGCCTGTACAACAGCAGGTTTCAAAATGGACATATTCCTTTCAACCACATCTCTGCCATCTGTTCTGCCCTCTAATTACAAATATAAAAAGAACATAATTCACAGCACAAACTAGGGTTTCTGGGTTTGCTTTGCTATTTTTGCTCCCTTCCAGTGGGTTTTCATTTTTGGCCACTCCTTCATTCTTTCTCAGTCCCTAAAAAAGAAAAAAAGAAAAAAGAGGAGGAGTTGTCTGAGGTTTTATTTGACCTGTGATGACACATGTTAGAGAAGTGGATTGTTCTCGCATCGGTTAAAAATATTTTCCAGTGCCCTCTTAGTATTTGCTGCTCATGTTTCTATCCTGGGATTAAACCAAAGAAAGAAAGAAGAGACTTGCGGGTACTGTTGTGATGCACACTCATCGGATGGGAAGTGCTGAGAATGGGCCCATTATACAGCTTTTTATCCAAGCTGCAAAGGCTCTTGAATGGCTCTTAAAGGAAAACCTGCTCCCACCCGCCCCAATCCTTTTTTTCCCTCATTCTCCACATTTTGTGAAACTATTCTTTCATGCTCTGAGGTGATCGTTACTTCCCCGGTTGGTTTGGCTTTAGACAGATGGTCCATGGGGGTGGGTGTCAGTCTTTAACTTGTGTTTAGTGCCCTGATCTGTCTCTGGCTTCCAATATGATCTTGAGACAGTCACTTTGGGCTGAATCTAAGTTAATCTTGGGAGCCCAAATGGTCTTCATCCAGCTGTGCGCAAAGTACCTGACGAGAATTGCAAACTGCGCAGCAGTGCCACAGCACTGTAGATGTGCCTGTCTTGAGGATATTCACCCCGCTGGGTTCCTTCTCTGTCCAGAACTGCTGCCACCGGCCATGCGAGCTTGTGCCCGTGAAGAGCTGTGCTGAGCTCTTGTGACCCCCGACTCCATCCAGCGTCTTTCCCATCACTGACAGAACTAAGCCTCCTGTTACCAGGACTGTGCAGCAGCTCCTTTACAGAGAGAATTTCTCCCATGCCTTTTCCTCCCTAAGTTTCAAGAATGCCAGCATATGCAGTGCTATTCCTAGAGCTACAATTTCAGGCTACTTTGAGAGGCTATTTGCAGCTGCAGGTAGGTGCAGGTGGCTGGGCTGAGCTGCCGGCAGTTTCCCGCTAGAGGCTGCTGTTTCCTTGTGCAAAGTAAAGGCAAAATATAAAGGTGCAAAATGTGAAAGTACAACAGTGAAATTCCCCTGGGCAGGCCTGGTTCAAGTCTAGGGAAAGGCAGGAATATAGAAGCAAAGGAAAGACAGGGAAATGGAGTTAAGCAATTAGGAGAGAGTTTGCAACCTTGCATGCATGGTGTGGATCCACCTAAAATGCAGGTGCACTTTCATTTCACTTGGGTTACCTGAGTGCATTTCCATCCCACTGTCAGCCCTGTGGCCCTATGCAAGTTGTTTGGAGCAGGAAACATATCTTAGAGTGTGTGTGCTTGGTGTCTGACACAATAGGATCCCACTCCTCATTGAGGGATAGATACTAGCAC